CGTATACTGCACATACCGTGCAACAGGCCTATTTGGACAAAAAAAACCTAGGTGGGTAAAACGCGGAACTCTCATTTTAAAAGGTCTTCCCGGGTGAATTTCGGAAAGAAAAAAATCACAGGAGTTGTTGAGAATATAATACATTTATCCAGATTAAAATTAAAAGATTGTGACGATTTTTAATGTTGGTTCTGCAGCGCTAAAGATGCCCCCTCCTACGGCATCGGAGCCAGTACGTGTACACTGCACATAACGTGCATAGGCCTACTTGGACAAAAAAACCTAGGTGGGTAAAACGCGGAACTCTCATTTTAAAAGGTCTTCCCGGGTGAATTTCGGAAAGAAAAAAATCACAGGAGTTGTTGAGAATATAATACATTTATCCAGATTAAAATTAAAAGATTGTGACGATTTTTAATGTTGGTTCTGCAGCGATAAAGATGCCCCCTCCTACGGCACCGGAGCCAGTACGTGTACACTGCACATAACGTGCATAGGCCTACTTGGACAAAAAAACCTAGGTGGGTAAAACGCGGAACTCTCATTTTAAAAGGTCTTCCCGGGTGAATTTCGGAAAGAAAAAAACCACAGGAGTTGTTGAGAATATAATACACTTATCCAGATTAAAATTAAAAGATTGTGACGATTTTTAATGTTGGTTCTGCAGCGCTAAATATGCCCCCTCCTACGGCATCGGAGCCAGTACGCGTATACTGCACATACCGTGCAACAGGCCTATTTGGACAAAAAAAACCTAGGTGGGTAAAACGCGGAACTCTCATTTTAAAAGGTCTTCCCGGGTGAATTTCGGAAAGAAAAAAATCACAGGAGTTGTTGAGAATATAATACATTTATCCAGATTAAAATTAGAACATTGTGACGATTTTTAATGTTGGTTCTGCAGCGATAAATATGCCCCCTCCTACGGCATCGGAGCCAGTACGCGTATACTGCATATACCGTGCAATAGGCCTGTTTGGACACAAAAAACCTAGGTGGGTAAAACGCGGAACTCTCATTTTAAAAGGTCTTCCCGGGTGAATTTCGGAAAGAAAAAAATCACAGGAGTTGTTGAGAATATAATACATTTATCCAGATTAAAATTAAAAGATTGTGACGATTTTTAATGTTGGTTCTGCAGCGCTAAAGATGCCCCCTCCTACGGCATCGGAGCCAGTACGTGTACACTGCACATAACGTGCATAGGCCTACTTGGACAAAAAAACCTAGGTGGGTAAAACGCGGAACTCTCATTTTAAAAGGTCTTCCCGGGTGAATTTCGGAAAGAAAAAAATCACAGGAGTTGTTGAGAATATAATACATTTATCCAGATTAAAATTAAAAGATTGTGACGATTTTTAATGTTGGTTCTGCAGCGATAAAGATGCCCCCTCCTACGGCACCGGAGCCAGTACGTGTACACTGCACATAACGTGCATAGGCCTACTTGGACAAAAAAACCTAGGTGGGTAAAACGCGGAACTCTCATTTTAAAAGGTCTTCCCGGGTGAATTTCGGAAAGAAAAAAACCACAGGAGTTGTTGAGAATATAATACACTTATCCAGATTAAAATTAAAATATTGTGACGATTTTTAATGTTGGTTCTGCAGCGCTAAATATGCCCCCTCCTACGGCATCGGAGCCAGTACGCGTATACTGCACATACCGTGCAACAGGCCTATTTGGACAAAAAAAACCTAGGTGGGTAAAACGCGGAACTCTCATTTTAAAAGGTCTTCCCGGGTGAATTTCGGAAAGAAAAAAATCACAGGAGTTGTTGAGAATATAATACATTTATCCAGATTAAAATTAAAAGATTGTGACGATTTTTAATGTTGGTTCTGCAGCGCTAAAGATGCCCCCTCCTACGGCATCGGAGCCAGTACGTGTACACTGCACATAACGTGCATAGGCCTACTTGGACAAAAAAACCTAGGTGGGTAAAACGCGGAACTCTCATTTTAAAAGGTCTTCCCGGGTGAATTTCGGAAAGAAAAAAATCACAGGAGTTGTTGAGAATATAATACATTTATCCAGATTAAAATTAAAAGATTGTGACGATTTTTAATGTTGGTTCTGCAGCGATAAAGATGCCCCCTCCTACGGCACCGGAGCCAGTACGTGTACACTGCACATAACGTGCATAGGCCTACTTGGACAAAAAAACCTAGGTGGGTAAAACGCGGAACTCTCATTTTAAAAGGTCTTCCCGGGTGAATTTCGGAAAGAAAAAAACCACAGGAGTTGTTGAGAATATAATACACTTATCCAGATTAAAATTAAAATATTGTGACCATTTTTAATGTTGGTTCTGCAGCGCTAAATATGCCCCCTCCTACGGCATCGGAGCCAGTACGCGTATACTGCACATACCGTGCAACAGGCCTATTTGGACAAAAAAAACCTAGGTGGGTAAAACGCGGAACTCTCATTTTAAAAGGTCTTCCCGGGTGAATTTCGGAAAGAAAAAAATCACAGGAGTTGTTGAGAATATAATACATTTATCCAGATTAAAATTAGAACATTGTGACGATTTTTAATGTTGGTTCTGCAGCGATAAATATGCCCCCTCCTACGGCATCGGAGCCAGTACGCGTATACTGCATATACCGTGCAATAGGCCTGTTTGGACACAAAAAACCTAGGTGGGTAAAACGCGGAACTCTCATTTTAAAAGGTCTTCCCGGGTGAATTTCGGAAAGAAAAAAATCACAGGAGTTGTTGAGAATATAATACATTTATCCAGATTAAAATTAAAAGATTGTGACGATTTTTAATGTTGGTTCTGCAGCGCTAAAGATGCCCCCTCCTACGGCATCGGAGCCAGTACGTGTACACTGCACATAACGTGCATAGGCCTACTTGGACAAAATAACCTAGGTGGGTAAAACGCGGAACTCTCATTTTAAAAGGTCTTCCCGGGTGAATTTCGGAAAGAAAAAAATCACAGGAGTTGTTGAGAATATAATACATTTATCCAGATTAAAATTAGAACATTGTGACGATTTTTAATGTTGGTTCTGCAGCGATAAATATGCCCCCTCCTACGGCATCGGAGCCAGTACGCGTATACTGCATATACCGTGCAATAGGCCTGTTTGGACACAAAAAACCTAGGTGGGTAAAACGCGGAACTCTCATTTTAAAAGGTCTTCCCGGGTGAATTTCCGAAAGAAAAAAACCACAGGAGTTGTTGAGAATATAATACATTTATCCAGATTAAAATTAAAAGATTGTGACGATTTTTAATGTTGGTTCTGCAGCGCTAAAGATGCCCCCTCCTACGGCATCGGAGCACGTACGCGTATACTGCATATACCGTGCAATTGGGCCTATTTGCACAAAAATCCTAGGTGGGTAAAACGCGGAACTCTCATTTTAAAAGGTCTTCCCGGGTGAATTTCTGAAAGAAAAAATTCAGAGGAGTTGTTGAGAATATAATACATTTATTCAGATTAAAATTAAAACATTGTGACGATTTTTAATGTTGGTTCTGCAGCGCTAAAGATGCCCCCTCCTACGGCATCGGAGCCAGTATCGCGTATACTGCATATACCGTGCAATTGGGCCTATTTGCACAAAAATCCTAGGTGGGTAAAACGCGGAACTCTCATTTTAAAAGGTCTTCCCGGGTGAATTTCCGAAAGAAAAAAATCAGAGGAGTTGTTGAGAATATAATACACTTATCCAGATTAAAATTAAAACATTGTGATGATTTTTAATTTTGATTCTGCCTGTGTCAAACGCGAAACTCTTGGAGGCCCGCACCCATTGATCGCGTTGCCTGGGTAAAACATGGAACTATTTAATACAGAGGGCCTTCCCATGAACATGTGGAGGATATAAGACACTTGTCGACATTGCAAATAAAACATTACGATCATTCCATAATGTTACTTCGGCAGAATTCGTTCTGCAGCGGTACATTATCCCCCTATCAACTGTTTAAAACACGTGCTTCACAGAGCACTGAGTCAAAGCTGCACCCTTAGTTTGTAAACGGCATGTATCCCTGTACAGCATGTGTTCTGCACTGTTCTGCAAATACTGCACACAATTATTATACGACGGCACAAACAGGTGGGAAATCTTTTATTTTCAATTCATTTAAGGACAGATTATGGCGATTTTGGGACTTTTTAATGAGATTTGGCCCTTGCTGTACTTTGAAAGCCAGTATTTCATCTTAATTTAGTGTTTTATTAACAATTTTGCAGAGTTCCGCAGAGTTCTGCACGTTCTGCGAGTTCCGCAAAATACCAACTGCCGATTATTCCAGCTACTGCCTGGCTGCAGGCTGCTACGCGCGGAGACATTGCTAGAAAAAATAAGTTATAATAATTATTAGGCCTAAATGCGAGAAATAAAACATTAATGATTAGGATATCCATGGAGGAATAAGAAGAAGAGCAAGGAATTCGGGATATCTGGCCATCACTAATTTTTCCCTTCAGTAACCTATCAACCATTAAAAAGTGATAACATGTCCTAAAATTAGAAGGGAAAATATTGAAGTATTTACTGAGAAAACACTTAGAAATTTTCAAACCCACCATACTGTCATTTGTCAGTTTGTGCACAGGGTGACAAGTGATGGCCAGATAAGGAAATCTTTCCAAGATTTTTATGAACGTCAGTTCACCAATTTAATTATCTGATCATCATAACTAGGATTATATACATCGTCTTATATCGTCTAAAAAAAAATTAGAAGTAGTCATGTCGGAGTAACCAATCATGCCAATGCAGTGGTGATTACTAATAATACTAGCTTGGTTCATGACCAAATTGATCAGTGTGTTCCTAGCTCCATGGTACTAGTAGGAAATTTAATAATAAAGTTAAATCCACACACAATAAAAGTTCTGAATGGATTTTGTACATGGGGAGATTGTATCAAAATGCATGTAAAATGTGTCTGGTACATGTAAATAACATACATATTTGTTGAATGAACTTTCCTCCTGTCGGTTTCTGCGAAGAATAAATTCTGAGCCACAATTATTTCTTATTTATGGCAGTTTGACATCTTCACTTAACACATCATCTGCTAGAAATCATGACGAATCAGGGAGTGTACAAATATCCTGATGGAGATGAATACAAGGGAGAATGGTTGGAAGGTTGGTTTCAGCTCAGTTGATATCACACTTTTGGAGAAAACGGTGACAAACAGCGCACAACCTTTTGAGCATGAAACACAATAGCACTCTGTAGTTCCAAAAATCAGTCGACTGACTGATCGTTGGAAATCTCCTACATTTCTTGATTCCTTCTAAATGACAGCAAGCCAGAGGGAATAGTTTCACGAGGTGTTTAGTACTGGAATAATTTGTAATCCAAGTAAACTTTTGCGTAAGAATTTGTTAGGGTACTTTTGGGATAAATGTAAATACATGTCTGAATGCAAATGATCAGAACGCCTTTAACGGGATGAACGACAAACTAAACCTTTTTTATAGTTCATTATCAACTTCAATGCACAAATAGTCCATCATGTTCTTTTTGTTAATTGACGACAATGAAATCTTTTCGTGGACCAGATAGAGCAAGATAGAGAACAAATTAAAGGTGGCATACGTTCAAGCAATTTGGAGTCAGTTTTCTGCATAGTTCAATTTTTTTTAATTAATTAAAAGACAACAAGTGTCAGACATGCCAGAATTTCCACACTTCCATGAAATTTATGCTATATACTATGGTTTGCCTCAATTCTGCAGGAAAACGTCACGGAGTCGGCCAGCTGATTCTAGCCGATAAATCTGTGTATATCGGCAACTTTGACCAAGGGCTGTGCAGCGGAATGGGCGTCATGGTCTTCCCAGATGGAACCAAGTAAGCCCCCCCCCCTTCAGATTACCCTTATCTTATTAATAAAAATCATAATAATGGTCTTTGTATTGCACTTTTAGCAAATGACCAAAGTGCTAAAGTTAACTTATTATGCCGAGGACAGTGGGAGTACACTGGCAAAGATAATACTCTGACATAGACTTTTGCTTGAATTTTTGCACGGTCGGGCTGGGTCAGATTAGGGTATTTCAGATCAGTTTTGGTTCGGATTCGGTTTATATCTATGTTTCAGGTACCCATCCCGATGCCCAACATTACTCTGCATCATTAGATTAAACACCTCCATCTTTAATTTGCACATCAGAATTCACAGTCGTGTTTTACACTTTGTTGCAGGTATGAGGGTGAGTTCCAACAGGGCCGGTTTGACGGTGTCGGTGTTTTTACCCGCTCTGATGGAATGATGTTTGAGGGACAATTCAAACAAGGAAAAGTCAGCGGTCTGGGTAGGTAACCCTATTCACTAATTCAGCACATTTCAAATATTTGAATATCTGATCAAGTCCAACTGAGAAAAATTGAAAATATAAAACCCTAACTCACTCTAATTTTGAAATTGACATCTTCAATCTAGTAACAATAATTGTTGTTGTTTTTTTTCCCCAGGGCTGTTGACTTTTGCTGATGGTACTAACGGTCTTCCACGCAACGAAGGAGTTTTCGAAGGCACGCGATTGGTTGAGCGTAGGAAGGCATCAGACTACGTAACGAGGGCCCGACAAGTTGCCCAGCAAGCTGAAACTATTCAGCTATAAACAAACGATGGCCTTCTCACAAACATAGTTTTGTATTCACAATTCTGGAAAACCTTGGTCCCAATTTCGTGGCTTTGCTTACCATGGAATAGACCTTTTGCGTAGCAGCCATCTTAGAGGGCAACGCCTTTGTTTTGCTGGGATACGCATGAGAGAACCTTTTGTACTTTCATTGCTACTCAATTAAAATAACCAAAGATGTCCTCTAAGATGGCAGCTACGCATAACGTCTGAGATTATTATGATAGCTGTGTACCAACTGTGGCATCGTCCCAACGAATTCCACAACCATTGTTGGGACTGCCCCAACAGTAGTTTGGACAGTCCCAACAATAGCCAGGACCTCTGTCGTAGTTGGGACGTAACATGATCACCATTCCGAGCGTACAACTCTCTCACACCTGTAAGCACACAATCCAAAGTACATGTAACTGCAGCAGAAATGCCTTTCAAACCTGTGCAGACCTTTCCGCTATTGTTAGCAGTGTCGCAAGTCGGTACGCTTGGAGCGTTCCACCGGGGAACATTGCCTGTTCCAATTAGGAATGTGACATTCTCTAATTTTAATGTACCAGGGATAAGTAGTTGGTTTTTGCATTATACTTCTTTAGTTATTTTGGGGAAATTTTTCTGTATATTTTTGTACCTTTATGTCATCCAATTATTCATAATATAATGCGATAGTAATAAATACTGTTTGATTACATATTGAAAAAAAAATTCCGTTACTGAGATGTGACGTCCCATTTAATAAACATTTATTTAGCTTCTTTTCACTGCAAATCAACACATTTATTTTTGATCCGTATCTTGACAAATTCAAGGACTGTACAACAGCCCAGCCAGCCTAATTTACATGTACATGTACAAGTTACAATTGGGTTTGTAATCTGAATTTTGTTCAAGGAAAATTCAGCATTAAATGTGCTATTGTGATTCACTGCAGTGTCGGATTTTGGAGCGCACAAAACTATGTGTTCCAGTTATGTTTCATTCAGGAATATTGTAACAAACACATTAGTTGTACATGCCCGTCAATTGAAATACAATAGTGTATTATGGTGAATAATTGTAAATTGAACACATTTTTATTACGCAAATTGTTCTTTCAGTTTTAAACTTAAACACACACACATACATACTTCGTTTGGTACTCTGTGTACTCTAGGATGTGCTTTCCACTGTTGGTTGCTTACACATTTTTAAATATATGGAAATGTCTGTAAGCAATAAAAAATAAAAACAGACCATATCAGGACCCATTGATCCAACCCCCCCCCCAAAAAAAAAGTGTGTTGTATGCTCAAAGACCCTTAGTGCTGAGTGCTCTTAACACTGCATATACATGTAAGTACTTTATTTCAAATTGTAGTGTAGCAAATTATAATCTCAACAAAAAATAATAATGTTTTATAATAAAATTTGTATTCTTATCTTTGAACAGTGTCAATAAACTTTAAAGAAACCAGTGGATGATCTTGGTGTCTCTTATTATTTTACTAATTCCCAACACATACAAATGTTTTGTAAAGGACCTGGTGTTAAACTGCAAGCAAATTTCACAGCAAGTGACGTTCACAATACTAGTAGAATGTAACCCAAGAAATTTACATCACTTCTTTTTTTTTGGGGGGGGGATGTTGAAAGTCACATTTAAGAATACTGTACATTTATGATTTCAAAAAGACAAGGTGGCCTCTTAGTCTTAAAATATGAGTGAAATTCTCTCCTCTGTGTCGCATCTTGAATATCAATCCCCTCCTCGCCTTGTCCTTGTTCCACAAGTCTCTTAAGAAGTATTCTATTTCTTCACCCAGTCTTCAGCTTTCTGGTGTATCTTCAGCTTTCTCGTCTTTCTTCATCTTGTCTATCTTTTCCAAGGCCTATAGGAGGCAGTCCTGTTGCCTATCTATCTTCCATTATTCCCTCCTGAGCTGCCACCTCCTGCTCCTTCACCTTCTCCCCAGCCTCTTTCTGCATCTTCTCCAGTTTCTCCAAGGTGACAGACTTGAGAGGCAGCAACTTGGGTTTGCAGAGGACCACGGTTGGCTGCTCCTCCTGATACACCAAGCCCTGCTTCGGGAGAACCTCCCGAAATGTCCCTTTGCTTTCCGGCATGATTTTGTATTTCTTTGAAGAATTGACAATCCTAGAGTGCCACTTCAGTTGTTCTGCTCCTTTTTAAAATTCCGACTGCCAGTTCCACCGATGATGTTTTCAGACCATGAACTTGTAGATCACTCTCAAATGTTTTTGGTTATATTTGCTTTGCCTGAATGAAGACCTGTCGACTGATCAAGTGACTATTTACTAATGAAATAAATGTGGCAGCTAAGCAACCGGCATTCACGAGGAGTTTCAGCTGCACACTTTTTTAAATGTATTGATGTTGACTGTCTTTCATCGCATTCTGAGCAGAAAACAGAAAGTGGATGAAAGTGGATTAGAAACGTAAAACTAAGATTTAAAAAGGGCCAACTACTTCATTTAATCAGTTAATACTTAGTGCGCAAGTATACTCCCTCGCCAGTTCTACAAATTACAAGGAAAGAGTTGGTGGAGGCCACTAGGAGCGACATTCGAACGCTTTCCTGACAGCATCTTGCGATCATGCATTTCTGCAAAGACGCCTGATACAGTGCACATTTAAGGCTAGAACAAATAAAAAATATTGATAATTGAAGTATTTACTAAGAAAACACTTACAAAATTTCAGACCAGTCTCATAGGGTTTGTGCACAGGGTGACAAGTGATGGCCAGATATGGGAATCTTTCCGAGTCTTTTTTAACCTTATATAGGAACGGGGTCGAGTCCTAAATGTAAGGATTACCAATAATATCACGAAATAGATACAACGTACGGTCTACCGCACATGGTCTACATTGCAGTTTCTAGCTCAAATTGTCCTCAACAAGCGGAAACAAATTACTAAATCCGCCACTAACGTTAGTGCTCCATTCAGCTTTAATTTCTTTAGACTTACATCTCGGTTTACCAAGTTCTTTGTAGAAAAAAATGCCTACTTACGGGTTATTCTTTCCGTCGGTTTCAGGAATGCAAGGGCGCCACCAAGTGGTAAGTGCTAATGATGGACGTTGAGGGCGCTACAACACCTTAACTTGGGGTGCACTGGGTGCGCAGTGTGAAAATGTAACCATGGAAACCAACAAAAAAAGTGTAAACTCAAAGTTCAGCCGACATCTCTGGGGTTTCTCAAACAAAAATAAATTATGGTCTATTCCTTCATCTTTCAATTTCTTTTCGATTTTTGGTGGGTTAGCCAGTTACGCCAAAACAAACTCACCTTCCCGAAAAGTGTACTTTAACTGAAGCCTGCGTACGCCGTGCAGCCACAGTGGCATACTCAACCGAATGCGAATACCGAGGACCCATTTTTCAACCGTAATCGTATCAAGTCTGCCCTCAGATGGAAGCCCCAAAACCAGGGAGCCGTTTCCCCATTTTTTTCTCTTCCTATGAACATTTCTCTCGTAGAGGAAACAAAAAGGATGAGTAGCATCGATTCTTACTTCTCTTAGATCTGTTCTCTTCTGATCTAATTGTTGAGTAGAATCCTCATTATAGGATCTAAAGAGTTCAACGTCAAGCAGCTAGATTTTGCACAGGAAACTACCAAAGGGATACTAAACTTCTGGATGACTTGGGATGGGGCACACTACAGAACAGAAGAAATCAACAGAAATTATGTATGCTTTACAAGATGAAAAAATGGATTGGTCGACATTCCACTTCACAACTATATGTTCAGCCTTATACCAGAGATACAAGGGGAAGCAACCAAAAATTCATTCAAGTCAGTCACGGGCCTTCAAAGATTCATTCTTCGTGTCAACTCTTAAACACTGGAACTCACTCTCCTCAGCTGCTGTGATGAACAGCGCAACTCTAGCTGAATTCAAGGGACATATCAGTAATATCTACCAGTAGTCTATTTCCACACGCAGTGCGCAAGTTAGCGTTGAGGTATCCGGCAGGATATTTTGCTGACTTAACCAATGGAGATGTAGATAGAATGACCTCATTACAAAGGAATTAAAAACCAACATGCGAACTGCAGACTGTTTGCATAAGTTTTAACGTGATTTATTTTTCAACTTACAAAAACGTGCTAATTTTCTTCTTTCTTAATTAAGGCAACATTTTTTTGTCTTCATAAAGCACACTTCACTTATTAACAATGCAAGAAAAACACACACCAAACTTGTGTTAAAGTTACACTTATATCTAAATTTAAATACAAATATTTGTACTTATTTTTTTGGCCGTCCGATCATTTGTTTTAAAAGTAAGTTGGTTTTTGTAAGCACACGCATTGAAAACAAAATATATCGTTAGGCATAATAAGAAAATCATTCACGTGGTACTAACAAGTTAGGCCAGTATAAGACAGCATGGTTGTTATATTTTTAAAAGTTTTTCAAACTAAACTTCTGATGTATTAATAGTTTAATTTGAACATCGAGCGCCATTTGGATGGGCTGCCGCAAGTGCATAAAAAAGTCCTCAGTCATAACATCCTCATTACATATATAAGAAAAGGCATGTTTAGGAAATATTTGCAGAGTTTGTTAATAATTTTGTTTTTGCGACAATCATATCATATTTTGCAATAATTAAAATACTATCATTTTTTTCAGTGTTGGACCTTCCATAATTTGGCAATAAACCAGTGGTTGGCAAAATTAATGGGCCAACCACGCATCGACTGCCTCGACTCCATGGGTGCGTGCACGGTACGAGGCATGGTGGGAAACAACATGGCGCAGCAAGATCGTACCAATGGAAACGAGGTTGACGCATCGGTAATAGAAAGGTCTGTACTTTGGTCTGTCTAGCTCTACGGGTAGACTGGCTCCTTGCTCTGGAATTCCTGGGGTTGTCCTTGGTACTGGTACGCTTGAGGTGCAGTTGGTTGTTCCGGGTAGGCTTGTGATTGGCCAGCGGGCTGTCCCGGGTAGGCTTGTGATTGGCCAGCAGGCTGCCCTGGGTAGGCTTGTGATTGGCCAGTGGGTGGCCCCGGGTAGGCTTGTGGTTGGCCAGTTGGCTGTCCCGGGTAGGCTTGTGGTTGACCAGCGGGTGGCCCCGGGTAAGCTTGTGGTTGGCCAGTTGCAGGATAGTAATTAGGAGGCGGGGCCTGGAACGTAGCTGGTTGCTGGATGGCTGTGGGTATCAATGATTATGATCGATTCGGTTTGTTTAATTTGTTTTAATTTATTGTAAGACTCAAGATCATATTCGTTAAGCTTCTTTTAATATGGCGGACAGAATAGGAGGGTGCTTAATCAAGAATATCTTGCAACCCAAAATTTGCGCCCTCTATTGTGCTCACCATTAAAGGACAATTCGGTTTGTAAGTGACTGTAGCGTCATACACCCGGCCGGTGTCATACTGACTCCTGTGAAAATCGGACTCCTTTCCCCTACTATTGGTTATTCTCTCACACGTGACAAGTCTCCTTTATATAGGCCTAAAGGTAGGTTATTATCATACTTACGCAATTCACACACATCCTTATGTGATTTGTTTTCGTTGTGCTGAAAGAACACTGAACTTTTTTGTGATCCGTGGACAGAACTTTAAAACGGTGGTTGTGTTTAAAATTCCGTAACTTAAAAAGTACATAAGTGATCCGAATGATTTTTGTACTAAAAGAAAGCTTACGAATTGGGCTTTTATATCCTAGATTTTGAAAGTGCAACATGCAGAACTTCACTAAAACAATGGTCCCGACATTTGGATATTTTTTTTTTTACTCACCCTGTATTTCACAGAATGTTGTGGAATAGTTCAGAGGTCATGCACCGGCTCAAGAGGGCGCACCTTACCCCCAGTCACGTGTGATAGTTTGACTTACTTTGCATGGTAACCGGTTGTGGATTTGGTCTGGCTGCTGCCCTGGCGCAACACACGCAGCAAGCCACGATGCTCACAATGATGATGATAAACACCACGAAACCACCAATGGCAATCCCAATGATAGCGCCAGTACTGCGATACAAAACAACAAGAATATATCTTGTACAATAACTGATTTTTCATTCAAAAACAAGATGTAGGCCCTAAATATAATACTAGCAAGTCCTTAAATATGAGTGACTCGCATCCTGGCGCACTTTGTGTGTCTCATTTGAAACTATGCATGGCGGCACAGTGTAACTAGGCAGGGTTTGCGGTGACACCATGTGGAAGAATCTCTTTTGAGAAGATGTGGGGTTCTGAAAATATCTGGTTGGTTGTGAAACGCGACGACCTCATGAAGACGATCTGAGAAAATGCCCAATGATTATGTAAGAGGGTCGAGTTTGTCTCATTGATTTTGTTTCCTTAATTCCCGGTATCAGAGATACACGTCTTGTTTTTTACTGAGAATTTTTTTTATAAAAACACACACGAAAGGTATATAGTCGCATTTCCAGCGGTAAATGAGACCTATGGCTATGTATTTGGGATGCACACTCTCACACAGTGGCCTCAATGCAGCTAATAGAGAGCACATGTATCTCCCCCACTCCCTTGGAAATTGGCATGCTATTAATGAATTAATGGTATTCAGGCTAAAAAAGTCACCGTGCAGAGAAATGCCGAGTCCGACTGTACCAAAACAACTAAATCTGACTTGAAACCATGCAACCCAAATGGTCTTGCCCTATACACTATCAACGAATACAAACACTTTGAAGTTTTGTATTATCGAAGATCAACAGTAATTATGTACATGTTCTCTCCCTTTCCGCCATTTTGTTCTTCATAAGCAGAATAATCGTACATTGGACCTAGATCAAACAAACAAGTCAGACAACGGCTCGAATTATAAAGTGATTTCGTTGCTAACATTTGTTGATATTCAAGTTTAATAAGTTAGTTATTGTGTTGACATGCCGCACGACGACACACCTGCATGGTACCGAGGGCGGATCCGGGGGGGGGGGCAAAGGGGGCCATGCCCCCCCCCAAAAAAACCCGAAACCAATTGGGTTTTTTTTATGTGACGTCGCAAAAAAGGCAGGCAATGAGTACACCACCATCTTTTCCTCAAAAAACATTGGCTAAAGTGAAGCGGTCAGAAATTGCTTCAGATCGCACCACAGAGCATCGAGAATCCAAAAAAAATTCGGAGCCCTTAAGCGGGCCCCGAACCCCACGCCGTCATTTTTTTACCCACTTTTTGGGAGACACATAAAAAAATTTGCCCCCCCCCAACAAAAAATTCTGTTCTCGATCCGCCCTTGCATGGTACGGTGTATATCAACTACAACTCATGAAACCATTCTCCTCTATAAAGCGTTACTTTCGAGGTCTATGGACTGATGTTACCTGAGATAGTAATAGTAGTAACTGCTGAGGTTGATTTCATCCTCGTTGTTGGCAGTGTTATGGTATTCATCTGATGTGCAACATCGCTGAGCTGCGGTCCCGGAGTCACAACAGTAAACGTTGTTACCATTCAAACACTCAAACCCCGGCGAGACAACATCCCCTGAACCTTCCAAAGCAGGACACTCAAACGAATCTGAATATTAACGAAATTAGAAACCGTCTCAAAGCTATACTCATTACACCTGTTAATGGCATCTTTATAGGAGACATATTATCGTCATTTTGTATACCTTAGGGAGACATTTCGATGTCACGTCAGCTCTTATTTGTAGACAACATTTTAGTGTCGCAAATAGGCTCGAACGATTGCTCGTGGTCCATAACATAAAAATACCAAAATTCGTGGGGGTGGATGAGGTAAAATTTGGGTTAGGTTAGGGGTCACTAAAGTTTGAAAAATTGTACAATGCACAAGGCTATGGGAATGTCTCCCAAATGACTCATTGCCAGTAATATTATTATTTACTCTTTTGTTTCGGTCTATATTTACCAAGTGTACGCCCATACAGTTGATTAAAACTGGTTTCGATTGTGGCCTGCATTCTATTTCAAATAGTAAATACACAGGATGATACCAAATACTTTGAGAGTGCCAACTATACATTTATAACACGTCACAGAAAAAAAGGCGAACACAGTGCAAAAGTGCAAGGCATAGGCCTAACTGAATATCTCGCCGATTGCGACCATTGTTTTTAGTGGTTTTGGTTTCCAGTACAAAATATTACTTTGCTGACACTGTACGGGTATGTACATTCGAGAGCTCATCAGATAGGAAAAAACGGACACGACACGAACCTTCTTCATCAAAACAAAACGAATGAAGGTTATAAATAAAGTATATAATTAGGGGCCTACAGTAAATGCATTCTCTTTGTAATTTGCCCTTTCCCGTTTCTCAGACTCCATTTAGTCAAACATTTGTCATGCTATAATCTTCTTCTTCCTTTCCCATAATTGCAAAGAGATATTGCGTTTTAATAATTGAATAATGAATAATAGGGTTAACGTGTGCACGTATCAAATGTGCTTCAAAATCTAAGCTTATTTCGCTTCCAGGAGAGTAAAAAAATACCCAAGAATAGCTCCAAATTATCCGCAAGGGATGATAAAAATGGAAGTTAATATAAATCCCCCGCATTCACTCACCTTGCGCAAAACATGGAGTAAACAAGGCTAAACACAGAAAAATCCATGCGGCCGCCATTTTTCAATTGGGCTGTTTGGTTCCCTCTCAAAAGCGCTGCTCCTCTGCCGATTACAACAAAAACGCCGTTCCAAGGTCCACTTCAGCATGTGGCGCGTAATAATAATTATTATTATAGGCTCTGACAGTACGTGTACATGTAGAATATGCATGCACAATTCCTGATTGGTCATAAATTACGTTTGTCTTTATTTGGAAGTATTCGTGAAAGATTACAGTCACGAGGTCAAAATAGGAAGGAAACGAACTCGGTCTGCAAAGATGCGTGCCGTCTTCTTACGACGTGCTCAAGAGTAACTAGATTTGCTGGCAATGATGCATCAAAGTAACGCGAAAAGGAGGTGGTCGCATGACGCTTTTCGTGCGTTAACATGGCGGCTAAAGCAATACGATATCAGAAGCAGGAGGCTGTCGCCTGTCCTCATTAACTATGGCGGACAACTCTTTTCGTTACGAGTGTTTGTTTTCTTCACTCTTTAACATTTAGAGAGTAGCTAGTATGCGTTATGAGGTCAGGACTCCGGTCTATATTTGAATTGAGGGAGTACTTGACTTGTACCCGTGCAGGGAATCTTATAGGTATGTGAGGCCGACACACCCTGATTAGGCAGGTTCGGGGACCACACCCAAAGCCACGCCCTGTCGGACCTACCTGTGAGCATGCTAGTGTGGGTATTTTCAAAGTCTTGTCCCGTCCCTGTTTAGTTGTTGGTGAGGTTTTTTCGTCGTCTTTATAGACTAGGTTGTACTGTATTACTATAATAATAGTATTGCCTCTTGTTTTTGTTTTCTTGCATTCTCTTTCCACTTTAATAACGCACATTTGCATGCTCCCCTCCAACATTTCTCGTTTGTCTAAACGCCCAGGCAATCTCTCTTTTATATTGTGCTCTTTTACAATTTGTTGTCTATATTCTCTCGATTAATTCTTTTCTTTTTGTATCACAGTATACTTTCATATTTGTTTGCATTTATTCATTGTTTAGTTTCATATTTTGTATTTCTTTTGTGCACAATACTAATTTTTAAGAAAACTTTTTTTCTATATAGGCGGTCTTCCCGAGCAGCGCAGGCGTGACCAACATTGATGAGACACGGTTCGTGCATGAGTAATTAAAAAAACTTTAGATGACACATATCCATTGTTTTTCCCCCTACAATCAAGCCTAATAGGGTATTTTCAAAATCTCTGAGACAATTATGGCTACATCAGGCCTGAAACCTGTTTGTAGCGTCCTTTTTTTCCTGAAAATTCTACAAGGAACAGGTTTTCATCTACATGTACTATAAAAGTTATCCAATTCTCTGCCGTAGTATATTTGATATACCAGCCCATTATTTTCTTCTGACACACAGAATAACAAGTGAAACATTCAGTCTGATACTCTGGTTTCTATGTCTAATTTGAATGTTGCCATTTAAGTAGAAAGCTTTCAGGTTTAATGATCAAATAGTTGATATTGTCAGCTTTTTCGTTAATTTATTGCAATTATAAATTAGGTAAAGGTAAAGGAGACGAACCTGTGTTCACAGGAACGGAGTGCCCATCTCTCTCTTTCGAAGCGATTGGGCCAGACTCGAGTCCATGAAATGCTGCTGTGGAGGGAATCGCGACACCTCCACAGCGAGTCTGTTACCTTCCCAGCATTGAATAATGCTGGTACCCATTTAACACCTGGGTTGATAATTGAGAGGAGTTATTGAGGTAAAGCGCCTTACTCAAGGGCACAACACGCATGGCGGCGGGGCTAGAACCCATAATCTTACGATCATGAATCCTGTGCTCCACCGCTAGACCACACATGCCCCGTAATTCTAAAATAATATAGGCTTAATAATTATTTGAACCCTTATATACATATAGATAAATGCTCGAATATAATTTTCAAAAATCGTGAATGGGTTATGAGTTATTACACATCTGTTTTGCCAACATTCTGATGAGATTTCAATTTATATTCCTCAAATTATTACACAAAATCAATATTGTTTTAATATTTTTGATTCAAAACACACTGCATTAATTGTTACATCGGTTAGAGTTACATTGAAATCTTCCCCTTTTTCCAAAGGCACACAAACATTAATGATCTCGATCCAGATGCCGGTTTGCTGCAAATTATTCTAGTTAAAAATTACTCATTTCTCGATCTTTTTCAAATGTCAACACATTCATTTCAAAAGTAAAAAGCACACATTAAGCACAACCTCTTCCCTATCAGTACGCTCACACTATAGCTGCTCTCTCTGGGTGATTGAATGTTATAATTACATTGCAATTACATGTATACTGCAAGCAAAAGGACAAAGAAAGCTAAACCATTTAATACACGTTGAAAATGACAAAATCACAAAGTACACGATATAAAACTATATTTTCTATTTCAGTATCAAATCAGAATAAAGGAAGCAAGTTTCCCCTTCCCGGGGTTACTATTGTCTCGAGATTAAAAGTAGGCACTTGGAACGAGGTTGCATTAAAAGATCTGTGTACAAAAAACACGCATTTTACTCTATGCTAATTCTCGTCATTGTAACGGCAATGTATACAACACCTACTGTATTGTATTGTAACATCCAAAGAAAACGGTCTCATTTAGGGGAATTATTATTTTAAATGAAAAAACAAACCTGCGACCAATTTCATGGTTCTGCTATACTTTGAATTCCGTGCTTATACGATCACCGTTCTGTGCTGTTATCACTAGCAACATACAAAAAGGTAAAACCAAGAATAAAATAGTTTCGCCAACAGTATAAGCAGAGGCATGAATGGAGCCCTGGTCGAATCGCCATATCGCTAAGCGATGTCTATAAAATGTTTCGGGGTGACGTTTTGGGGCTCCGGATGGCGGGATCATGTTGCTAAATGCTATTCAAGGGAACAGGTTCCAAACTTTGACCTAAGCAGAGTTTTGAGTTAGGTAGGGTTAATTGTGTATCATTGTTATACAACTGAAGGGAATGGATACTTTGTTTGACTTCACAGTTGTTTTGAGTTATCAAAATTTTGACTTATCGAGATTTCACTGTAGGTGGCTTTGGCTAATCAACGTGTGGCAATCATGCAATCCAGTTAGTATAGGGGTGCAGGCCAGTAAATAGGCTAGAAATTGCCTACGCCGGTCAAATCACGATTTGCATGCCCTCAAATTCTCCGGCAGTAGAGCATTTTGGCGCCATGAACTTCAGGGTTTGTAAAAAAGAAGCCGTGCAGAGGACTGCGAGCTCGTATAAAATGTGACATTTGGATGAAATTTGTCCCTCTATTTTGCAATGGAGCGTATTAAAGCATCCTTTTTTTCAAATTGGCGATGGGCTTCAGGACTACTTTCAGGGGTGATCATCTTTGGATGGAATTTACTCCCAAAAAGCATCGAAAAAAAGTGAACATGAAATGTGATGAAAATAAGCTTTAATTGAATGTGTGTCTCAAACACCTTGGAGAGTTGGCAGTATTTTTGATGATTTTTGTAAGTGCGTTTTATTATCACTGAGGTCTATTTACTGGTCTGCAAGCACAGAGATCGGTGGCCGTTACGCCACGTAGCTCAATGACTAGTACTTTTGGTAGGCGGGGTTCTCGCCAGGAAGGGGTGGCTGTTGGGCCGGCTGTTGTGCTTGCTGGGCTGCGTAGTTAGGCGGCGGTACAGACTGGGTGGACGGAGGGTAGTAATAGCCAGGTGCTGCTGGCTGCGGAACGGTCACCAATCCTGGCTGCTGAGGCATACTGACAGCTGGAAAACAATATTTAAATGGAAAAATGTTACATTGGGAAATTTCGAAAATGGGTAAAATCTTGTCTGTAACCTCGCATGATAGGACTTACCGTGCATGGTGACCGGATGATGGGTAGGCGTAGCCGCAGCCTTAACGCAGCGCACACGGCACACGATGATGCTAACAATCACGCCCACAATGAAGACCAAGGATCCAATGGCTATGCCAACAATAGCACCCACGCTGTCGATTAAATCAGATTGCAACCGGTCAAAAGACAAGGAGTATCGTGAAAAAAATCATTGGTTAAAACAATGGAAATATCAAATATAGGATGATTATTAATTTGTTTTTCTTTTGTAGAAGGGCCGATACGAGTAAAAGCTTTTGGGAAATTTCAATAGCTTTTTATTTTACTTTCTTCATAACTTTTAGGAGTTGAGCCGACAAGAATAGGTAAGGACCTACCTACTTACCTCGGACCTAAATATTCATCATGTCCGTAATATTCATAATACGTGCAGCATCTCTGGTAAATGTTTCCTGATTTACAGCAGTAACGGTGGTCAGAAGCATCGGTCAAGCGAGGACAGTTAAATGGAAATGTCCATTTGTCGTTTTCGAAATCCCACACACTTGTACACGCATATCCAGCATCGGCTTCTGATGAAAGGAGAAAGAAAATCCACGTCAGTGGCGTAGCACGGTCATTCTTATTGGGGGGGGGAGGGTAAACATTTTTTGAAAAGGGCACTTGCACATCCGTGGTGAAATGTAGACACGTTTTTTTTCTCCGGACACTTGACCTCCATAAAATCAAAAGGCGGGGGGGGGGGGGGGGGGGGGGGGGGGGGGGGGCTGGTTCAAACCAACGATTATGCACACAAGCGGAAAATATGTGCTTTTCAGGGCGATACATGCGTGAATTAAAAAAATTAAAAAAAGTACCAGGAACGGCCGATGGCACAAAAAGGGCACCACTTCTTTTAAAGGGCACTTTAGAAAAAAGGACACTTCTTGAAAAAAAGAGCACTCTTTACAAATTATTTGGCGGGGGGGGGGGGGTAAACGCTGGTGAAAAATAGGGCATTTGAATGGAAAAAAGCAGTCTTTATAAAATATTTTTTTGGGGGGGGGGTAAATACCCCCGTTACAACCCCCCCCCCCCCCCCCCCCCCCGCTACGCCTATGCACGGTAACCTATTTATCCACCGAATGTCTTTCAAAGGAGGGGGAAAAGGAATCATTACAAGAGCTCTACGTTTAGTCCACGGGCCGGACCAGGAATGCTCTGCATTTAGGCCAAGAGGGCGCTGTGTTTGTATTTTTTGCCCATCATGGGTCAAAAACCAGTGTTTTGGGCATAATTTCTTAATTTTTCATTTAAATGTCATTAAATATGGTACAAACATTTTTAGGTCAGTGAGTATGGTACAAAATAATGAAGTCGCCATATTTGCAAGCAAGAAGTTAAGAAAACTCTCTAA